ACCGTGACACGTTGTTCACTAGTCATTTCTGGGAAGAGTTGCACAAATTGATCAGAACGAAGCTCAACATGTCGAGCGCCTATCATCCAGAGTCGGACGGCGCTACTGAGCGTGCGAACAAAACCGTCACCCAGATGATTCGCCATTGTATCGGGCAAACTCAGAAGGACTGGGTGCAGAAATTACCTGCTATTGAATTTGCCATCAATTCGGCTCGCTCGGAGAGTACAGGCTTCGCACCATTTTTCCTTAACATGGGAAGAATGCCACGTTCGTTCATTTGGGACTCAAACAAGCCATCCGAATTCCCCGGTGTAAGAACGTTCGCGAAGCGCATGAAGACCGCCATAATGCGAGCACATGATTCAATAATAGCGGCTCGCATGAAATCAGTTCGTAATGCTAATAGAAAGCGGATCGTCACTCCGTTCAAATTAAATGATTATGTCTACATTTCAACGAAAAATATTAATCTACCCAAGGGCTTGAGTCGGAAACTTGCTCCTCGGTTTATCGGGCCATACCTCATTACTGAGGATTTCGGAAATAATTCTTTTCGGATTAAACTTCCGCCTAGTCTCAGAAAGCGAGGGGTCCACGATGTCTTCCATTCCTCGTTACTTAGAATCCACATTCCGAATGATGACCGGTTGTTTCCGGGTCGTCTGGACACTCAAGTCTTCGATCTCGAAGACTTGGAGGGCGAATGGGCAGTAGAAAAAATTATATCTCATAAAAATGAAGGTCAAAATGCGATTTTTGAAGTCCTGTGGAAATCCGGAGACAAAACTTGGCTACCATACAGTCAAGTAAGCCATTTAATTGAGCTTCAACAGTACCTCGAAGCAAAGGGGGCAAAGAATATTTCAGAACTTTCTAGAGGTCTGGGCACAATAGATAACAATGATCCTCAAATTTTCGTTGGATCAATGGCACTGACGTCAGATTTTGAGAGTTCGATGACACGATGTCATGATGTTGAACAGGCGCCCATGTGCTTGGTCGTCTATCTATATATTGGGCTCGTGTTACTCGTCCTGTGCAAACACTCACACAGAATGTCTATCAACACCGAATCCTCTGCTTCTCAGATCGCTCCCGCTCAAGTTACGGAATCCATGGGCAATCTATCAATCAACGGAGCGCCTGACACCGCCGACACAAACACCAACATGTCCACCCCCAACTATAACCCCATGTTTGGCCAGGCTTCCCTCACGGACCATCTCGATGGTTCTGCACACAACCCCATCACCGAGCACCCATCTGTTGGGCAACCTCCCGTTGTCCAGGGCATTGTCCGCCCCGTCGACTTCCGTGGGAATCTCATCCCACTCTTCGTTCCCGTCGCCAGTTTCGCCTACATCACACGTCTCGACGACTTCCACTTCGGTATACTCGACCCCGACACCGGCAAGACGTTCTCCATCCACGCCACCACTCTCAAAGCGTTCATCAGCTTTGCGTACAAGGCAGTCTCCATTCCGGAGATACCGGCCCAACCCCTTTTCGAGCCGCTCGGCTATCGCGAGTTCGTCCGCCTCCTCCATCGCAACCCTGTCCAACCAAATCGCCTCACGGTTGTCGACATCAACGGTCAGGTCGTGTCACCCCCATCAGCTGCATTGTTTCCTATTCGAGTTGATTTTCCTAACGACAAGTATCTCGAGGAAGCACTCAAGGTCCGTCGGTCTTTCGGAGGACCAAAGCGCGTGACTCAGGTCAATGACATCATTCTTAACTCGGCCTCGAACAACGCCAGGAACCACCACAATGATGGGAAGGGAAAAAGGAAAGGAAAGTCACACAACAAGGACTTCGGTAATTTCTTCCTTCCTCTAGCTTAGAAATTGTTTCACAATTCCTGGAGGGCGTATGGAACGGATTAGGATTACATAAGTATCTACACCAGATAACTGATAAGATAACCAATACAGTATATAAGGACGTAGGTAGATCGTAGAGTAGTCAGTCTTGAATACATTGTCTTACCCTGTCTTTGAGGCTCTCGTGTGCCGGGACTCGCTTATCTCAGCACCCCGTCACAGTCACATACCACTAGCAGTTGCTTTAACGATATTTCGAAACGCCTTGATATCTCCTCCCTTCAATCGCTGTTGCACGTATCTCTGCAAATATGTTCTCTGCTGTCGTGACAGCAGACTGCGAACAAAATCAGTGATTAGCGCCTTTTCAAGGGAAGAAAAAGGGAACGCCCACCCACAAGGCCTTCTTGCAACAAATCGAAGGTCGAGGATGTTACAGTGAAACGGCGTGCCCACTACGATGATATGGAAGCAACCTCAGATGCACAGGCTTGTCGACGGCGATGTCGGTGGGAGGAACAAACCGCCGATAACCTCGCAAAGCCTCGCAAGCATGTGGAAATGTTCTATCTCCATTTGGTGAGAAAGGAACCCTGAAGGAACCCCTAAACCATCCAGAAAGAGTCCGAGAAAACCAAAAGAAACCCCTGGAAATTCGATTCTGAAGCAGCTCTAGGTGAATTTCATGAAGTAAGGGAGGACTAGTGGGCGCGATAGGATACCTGATTTCGAACGTGTCATGGTGTGTCTATGTCCATGGTTACGGTATCACGGCCACAAGATGAGGAGCTAGTTGAGAATAACCCAACCACTAGGCAATAGGATATATTGGTACCCTCTACTTGTGGAGGACCCTAATTCCTTGAGGATGTGGAACTCGCTGACTTACCAATAAGGCCCGGGATTAATAAATCTGATATCCTTGTCTGCTGAGAAACGAGGCGTGGGCTGCATCTCCAGTGCAAGATGGATATACATAAGATGGTCTACTATTAGGAGATATTTTACTACAGTCCCACCACATTTGCCACGAGCGCTTAATTTCCGGCTATCTTTCGGCCCGAGGCTCATTTCCGTACAAAGAAACACTCGACCACTGTGGCGTAATGTTTATCTCAGTTGGGGACTTTCGTAATTAAGGTGGGGTCATGGATCGCAAGGGTTAAGGGCTTAACAGTTCTGGACGGTAGGACTATTCTGCTCCATTGTGCAAATACACGGAGAAGAAACAAATTGAAATGGGGTATGAGTCAGTGAGACCAAGTGAGATGCTCCTACAGATGGATGGGTTGTGAAATCGCATTGAAAAATGTTTGCAGTCTGAATACTTGGCTGCATTGCAGGGTATAGGAGATGAGAAGTGCTTGTCCGTGTTTTTGTGTAGCTGATTTTAGGAAAAAACTGACAGGGAGGAGGCATCACGCTAATAGACCACACAGCTTTTTGCGAGTTACCTTTCATAAGGATGATGTTCAAGGTGCACAGGCGTAGAATATGACGGTCCGTACTGGACAAAAATCAAAATCATATTTTTTTTCAGGCCCATCCGAGGATTTCTTCAGTTTTCTTAGGTTTTCTTAAAGAATCTTGAGGGAAACAAAGTTTTCTTTGGGAAAACCTGGTATTCTTTAGGAGTTCTTGAGATTCCTTGGGATTCTATAAGAATCCTTAAGAACAGGCCATTTTTTTTTGCAGTCGGCCTTCTTGAAGAATCTCAAGGATTCTAAAAGACAAAAGAATTCTTTCTAATGGCCGTTTCCCCCTCAAAAATTCGATCAAGTCCCCTGTAAAGAATCTTAGAGATTCTCCAGGATTCTTTAATCATGTCCATTTTTATTTTGTTGCAAGATCCATTTTCTTTTCGACCCAACACACCTCCTTCTTGCAGATTCCTTAAGAATTATTTGTTAGACCATAACCATACTGTATAGTTCATGATATGTACATGGCGTCTAATACTACACATGTGCCTCTACATGTGTGGCAAGCCACCCTGGTGTCAAGGGTGATCAATCCACCCAGAAATCTGAAGTAAAACAGTAGGGACAGATGTGGAGGCGCTGGGTCATTTCCAGAAGGCAAAGAAGCTTCAGGGGGGGGGGATAGGCTCAGACAAATGAAAAATGAGTGAGTGAGAGGAGCATCAGCGCTCGTCAAGAATACGAGACTGAGGAGCAAGGGGTTTAACCAGCTGGAGTCCACCATGCAGCTGCCATGAGCTATCAAGGAACGCCAACATTCAAGAAAAGCAAAAAGAAACAGCATGGCAATTGCGCTCTATTGTGTTGTCCTGCCAAACGGCAGTGAAGCGCCTTTGCATGTCTTGCAGCAAAGTCCAAAGCTGTCATGTACTTGTCAATGGGTTGTAGGCAGGAGGCGAGAGTCTGGCATGCACACACCTAAAAGATCTTGTAGTCCTCCCTCTTAATGTTGCCGAAAACACTTTTTTTCCACTGTCCTCCCTTCTCCTTCCAGCTTGGCTGATAAGTCGCAGGTGTGTCGGTCCCTTCAGGGAATGCATGGATGCTGCCAAGGTATGGCTTGACTCCATGAGCCGCAAAGACCCTTGCAGTGAGGTGAGGTGTGTGGCAAGTATCCGACTTTTCTGCCAGCGCCCTGAGACTGACTTGTCATTAGAACCAGGAGGAGAAGGAAGCTAAACGCACGCTCACCTGGTCAGGACGACAATGACCCGGTTTCCTTGTAAGCGCCTTCCTCTCCGCATCGCTTGGACGACTGAGTCTTGCTTCAGAGCAACCTTCAGTGCAGCTTTGGCTGCACCAGGCTCCCAACGTATGCGCCCTTCTTTGTTCTTTCTGGATGTCTCGTTCTTTCTGACATACAACTTGGTGGCAACAATTTCCTTCTCCATAGTCAATGATGTGTGGGTGGTGGAGCATGTTGATGAGGTTTGGGGAGAAGGGAAAGTGTGTTAGCTGAGTCTGGCCAAACGAATGAAAATGAAGGTTGTGCCATCAGCTGCATAGTTCACCTATGTAGCCATGATTTCACGCCCTATCAAAAATCACCACTCACCGTTGTGTGGTAAGTTCCTTCTGTCTCGTTTCTTGTGGTTCTGACCCCATTCCTCAGCTCGTCGAAACACCGTTGTAGAGAATGCAAGGGCTTGTATGTCCGGCGCTCCTTCTGCCTCGCTTCTCGTGGTGCTAACTCGACTTTTCTTGTGGTTGTGACCCCATTCTCAGCTCGTCGAAACACCATATCAAAGAATTCAAGGGTGACCAGGGGTGTGGAATTGCTGTCGTTGGAGATGTTCGGGGTAGTCATCTGAGGTATTGAGGGCTGAGAGACACAGCGAGAGGCTTGTAAATGATGGCGAGTACCTTCTCTGAGACGCTGCTATGAGCCTGCTCCTCACCTTTTCTGCCCAGATCACGTATCCTTGCCCGCCGAAAGCCCTTGCCCGTCGTTCTCAAGTGCCCAGGCCCGTAACACATCCCTGTCAACTTCGTCTTGACCATACTCTTCGTAGCCTGTTCCTGACACATAACCTTTGAGTTTGATGTGTTAACAACCCCGCATTCGCTCTTGCCAATATGCTGCAGACGTTCCCCTTCAGAGAATGACATCCTGAGCCCAAGATGATCCTTGTAGCATCTGCACCTTCACACCTCAAAATATAGGACATTCCATCGTTTGGATTGATCTCCCCATTCTGAAGACCATGCCCTGCGATAGACCCTCTCAATTGAGAACCTAGAAGTCTGCTCAGTTTTTACCCCAACTCTGGCCAATAAGCAAAAGGATGACTCACCATTCTGTCCTGTTCTTGCCTCTCGCTCAACATAGGCCTCTCAACCCCTTGGGGCACTGCATCTGACAGAGAGAAAGGCAGACGTCACCAATTCATGTAATAAAACATTAGCTGTAGATACATTTACGACCTTTTTGCTCTCTTTGCAGGCCTCTCAACATCGTCATCGTCAGCTGCATCCCCAGCTGCTGTTGTCATCGTCACTGAACCTGTTCTTCCCACCCGTGCCTTAACATTTCTTTCGTCAAATTCAGTGGTCCCTGCTTTGGTGAACCCTCTCATTTCTACAGACTTGTCAGAGCTCAACAATTACAAATCAGGAGATAATGGATACCGAGAAGGCCATCAAGGACGCCAATGGGTCTCAAAATAGTGAATCGAGACAGATCACCCAAAAGAAGACTATCTGTCTCGATCTTGCTCAGAATCATGTTCGATTGCCACATCTCAAAGGCCTTCGTGTCCAACTGGAGGGCGTTCTTGATCTGTTCTCGGAGATTCGCCACGTTACATCTTGGGGCCCCACTGTATGCCTGCATCACAGCTTGTGCTTTGTAGTTGAGAATACTGTGGCTCTGGTGGGCCAGAAACAGTGCCGGAAGATCCACAGCCTGTGAACTTAAGGTCACTGTGAGATATGCACATATCCAACAAAAGACATCCAATGCCCTCCCACGAGCGTAACACATGTGCTTCCTCTCATTGGGAGGAATATTGTTCATGTCCCACATTTCTTGCAACAGCCTCTGCACCAGGGATGCCGGTTGGTCCTTGGTTTCATTGGGTGCACTGTATGTTCGATGGTCCAGGACATTGCCCAGAATGTTCAGGTTGCAGACGCAGAGCAAGTCAACCAAGCCTTCAATGGTATCAACATCGGGTATGTGCTCTTGCAAACAGACTTGCCCCATAGTCAGGTAGATTGGCCGATTCGCAGGGAAATTACTCACAGGCGTCATTGAACACCTCTCCTCTGACTATTGCCCAATGATAAAATTCCATCATTCGGCGCAACAGAAGCCTGGAGGGTGTGTGCGACATGTTGGTAATGTATGTCCCTATAACGAAGCTGTGTATCAAACTTGCAACAGTGTCTTGCATTGTCGAAGTTGCATAGAAGTGCCTGCCATGGCATATGCTATGTTCTGGGGTGAACACAGCATGGGCAACATTTGCACGCATGATCCTGTGGAGATGATGTGAGGCACAAGAGGACCTTATTTCACCGAAACGAAATCCTACAGTCGGGTGTTCGGTGGCAGGAGGACGGCCTCGAGATCCCAGATCCTATTCCCAATCTCTAAATTGGCCAGACACTTGGGGAGAGGTCCATCCAGATCCCCCGCATTCGGCTGTTCTAGCTTGAAATCTGGCTGCAAGAACCTTTCGATCATGGCGCTCATGTCTCTGGAACTAACCCCAAAGATCCAGAGCTTTGAACTGCACAGGACATCGATAAAGGTGTTGAAACCGTCACTGTCAATGTGCCAATAGGTCAATGCCCATGCCAACACGGCCAGCCCCCAGCGTATGTCTTTAACAGGTATGGGGGTCTTGTCGAGCGGACGATCTGTAGCGAACCAAGCTGCCATATCACTGGAGAACACCTCACAAAGCAACCAGAGTGACTGAGCAAACAGAAAATCCAGTGCGTTCAGAACCTTGCCTTCCTGGTCCTGTGAGACTTCCAAAAGCTGTTCAAGTGTGCCATTTTGAAGATGGATGTTTGGGACATCCTGGACCTCGATAGAATAATCTGATGCCACCAGGTCAATTGGGCGCTTGAGAGACTCAATTGGCGCACCTTGGATGGAGATCGTATTCTTGAAAGACTGCTGCAAAGTCTGCAGCCCTTTCTTGTCAAAAGAGACCTTCTCGAATGGCATTTCGGTGACGGTGATTGCATCCTTATGGCACAGTATCTCAAGAATGTCCCAGCTGGACTTGGCCCTGTACGTTTCAAATGTCATGACCTCCAACACCGATTCCTGAGGCTGCTTCATGTGCTTCAGACCACCGTCTACATAATTCGCTTCTATCTTGTCGAAGAAGAACTCAACAAGGGCCAGCTCTCTCCCAAACTAGGTTGCATGTTTGGTATCTTCTTTGGCAGTTCAAATGTGGACTTACGTGCAAGCATAGCAGCAGATCATATGCCTCCCCATGTGGGCCATAGAAGGTGCGTGGTTGCGCAGATTCCAGCTTCTTTACACTAGTCTGTCTCGACCCTTTACGCAGCAACAGAAATCACATACCTTGGGCACTGCGACGCCTGAAGTTGTCAGGTCCGGAGAGGCCTCCACCTCCTAATGAAATGTTGAGATTAGGAAATCCTCGGTGCTGCATGTCACACACCCTCAAAGACCAGGTAATCATGTCGTAAGCATCCCAGCTATCCACATTGATAGGATGGTCTGCATCTCGGCCTTCCGAAATTGCTCGTGGGACTTCCACAGGAGCACTGCTCTGTTCGTTTCTTCTGGTGCCTGCCAGCTTTTTTCTGTTCTTCAGCTTACCTTTTTTTGGGGTCAGGTGAAGTGGCTTCCTAGGCGGAGGAGGAGGTTTATTTGTTTGTTTCCCCTTGCCCGAAGCACTGCGTAGTTGAGGTTCCGATGTCGTTGTTCATACCGTCCACCTTCATTAATTCCAAAGCAGCATCTTGCTGACCATGGGTATTGATGGGTAAAAGAATGAAGCGAACTCTCTTCTCTAGCGTGTTGGTCAACGCTCCTGCATTCTCAGTGTAGCCGGCATCGAGACCAGGCATTTTCACATCTTTACATGGTCCATTGTCGGCCTCCATGTCATCGTCTATCTCGGAGTCATTGCTTGTGAGGTTGCTTGTGAGATCACTCACTTCTATCAGCTATGAGAATGTATCAGATACTGTATTTTTACAGGGTAGCCTCATAGATCAGGACTGTGTTTTACAGTCCACCTACCGGAGTTCATTGGGATGGCTTTGCCGGGTGTGCCAGGGCTCTCAGCTGTGGGTGGGACCTGTCAACACACACAAACAACGCAGGAAACAGTGCCTGAACACTGTTTCTCGTCATTTGGGGTGCTCCTGCCCCCGTTTTTGGTGGGGAAAAGGTGCCAACAGTGAGGAAACATATTTCCTTGTCGTTGTGCACCATTTCCCCCACTGTTTGGGGGGCAGGATTGGCTGGATTGGGAGTGGTCACTTTGGATGACGCGGCATTTTCTCGGTCATCGGTTATTTTTAGCATTTGCTCTAAAGCTCCTGAGGAGCTTGGGCAAATAATGCTTGCTGTCGTCTAGTACAATGTCCAGTGAGCTCAGACATCCACGAAAAAAGACAATTAAATTATAATAAAATAACTACAACTGAGCAGGTAGCTCTACTAGCTACCTGCTCTGAGATAGAGATAAAATGAGCAGACACGGAACACGCTGTGTCTGCTTGGGTGGACACCGCACCATGCTCGCCCTTGCCTCGTTTGCCCTCCTGCTTGTGCCATGCTTCCCTCGCCTCATGGTGTTGGTGTGTTTTGTGCCTCCATCGTGTGCGCCCGACCCCTGTCTTGCTCATCCTCGCCTCGATACCCTGCTCCTCGACTACCTGCCCCCCATTGTCTTGGTATCCCTCGCTCCTGCTTGCTCGTCATTGTCGCCGATTCACGGTCGTCCAGTTGCCCCTGCTCGTGGTGGTTGGTTTTGTCGGTCCTTGTCGCGCTGTAGTTCCCCCGTCCCCCATCCCCCATCCCCCATCCCCCAACCCCCGTCTCCACCCTTGCAACTCTCTGCAGCCCAGAATCCATTGTATGATGTTACACTGTGCTGGTTAGACACTGTGCTCCACGTATGACGCAAGATGGGAGACAAAAGAATGGTGGCGAGGGCAAAATGAGGGGTGGTGGCTACGGTGAAACGGGCGGTGCTGGCGAGGGTGAGACGGGTGGTGTTGGCAAGTTCAAAACGAGGGTGGTGCTGAGGGCAAGACGAGCAGTGGTGGCAAGGGCGAAACAAGGGTGGTGCTGAGGGTGAAACAAGGGCTGAGGGCAAGGGAGAAACAAGGGCAAGGGAGAAACAAGGACAAGGGAGAAACAAGGGTGGTGGTGAGGGCAAAACAAGGGGTGTTGGCAAGGGCAAAACAAGGGGTGAGGGCAAAGGTGAAATGAGGGGTGGCGGTGAGGGCAAAACAAGGGGCAAGGGCAAAGGCAAAGGCAAAACGAGTGGTGGTGGTGTTGCTATGGGTTGTTGAGGGAAAGCATACCAGCATCATCTGTGGTAGCACAGATGACGCTGATTGTCCTGGGATGGGGTACAGGAGGTGGGTGAGCGGGCTTCCCAACAGAACAGTGCAGTCACATACCTAGGTGGGTTTGTAGCTCGTCCTTGCCATGCTTGCGCCCGTCTCACCAGCGCCTGTACATGCTTGTCCCCATCCTTCATGCGTGCTCGTTGTTGGGTGTTCATTGCGGGTGAGCAAGGGCGGCATTGGGCGGCTGTGGGGTCATACAAGTGCGGTGTTGGGCGGTTGTGGGGTCGTGCAAGGAGGGAAAGGAGGGGGCAGGTGCCGCTGTAAACACAGAGTCGCTGGCCCACATCCCTTGTTGAAGGGGAGGGGCACGCAGCAAGGTGGGTGGTGGAGTGCATGCAAGGGGGGCCTCCTGAGGTGATAGTCTACATGAATAAGTAGTTTAAATAATAGAGAATGGCAAGACTTAGCTTACATGCAACAAACACGAGCATCGGAGCTCGTCTGAAGACGCTGTGCGTGCCAGGTGGTGCTCGAGTGCAACAATCAATGATGTTGAACCATCATTGATTGTTGTTTTGGCAAACTCCACTGTGTAATCCCATTGGCTGGAGCCACTGGTCTGTCTACCTGTGATGCGAGCAGGACATTGTTGAAGTCCTTGAGGGCCATCGGAAAGAAATCTTCATATAATAAGTAGAGAGCACTGGTTTAGAGATGCATTAGAGCCTATTTATACAACTTGGATAGCATGAATACACCTAGACATACTGAAGATATGTAAGTGCAGTGTTGGGAGTATAGGTTTCAATGAAGATCTTACTGCTAAAGTGAGTATCTTGAGACTGTCATGTTAAAGATACAGAAAAGCTCTGGGTGAGACCCCAAGATTGTAGGAAAGACATATGTAGTTGAAATCTTCAAATCAATAGCCCTATTCTGCCCATTCCTTACAACTGTATATGCATACCAGTTTGCGCGATTGCCCGAAATCACCACAGACAAGGCTTGCATGCATTATTCTGAGCTCAAATATAGTGGAATCTTTTTAATAAAATTTACACACAATTCAATCTATTTCTAAAATAATATCTGATACTTATTTGATGGCTGAATGGCCTATGATAGAGCCCACAGACATCCCATTGCTCGAGAGCGGAAGAGTGGGTTCAGTCCTGAGGCTGATCAGCCAATCGGACACCAGACAGCAATGGCCGAAAAACAATCAACAATGGTCAACCATCGTTGATCACTGTTCTCGATGGCCACCCACCTCTCCCTGTGCCCCTCCCGTTGGCCATCCAGTCCTGAAGACATGTCAAGAAGGTAAGTAAAGTAAATTTTGATGTTCTTATTGACTAACTAAACATTTTGTTGCGCTAGAGCCCGCCCACGTCACAGATGACACCGCCTCTCGCCTCGATGCCGTCATGCGCCCCTCCCTCTCATAGGGATGTGGGCTGGCTTCCAACCCCTACATGTATCCTCCCTCGACATCCGATCTCCCTCACAACTTGGATCTTGGCCCACTGCATGCTGCTCGCCCTGCCCTTGCCCTCACCTTGCCCTCGCTCTCACCTCACCCCTCCCCTTAACAGGGATGCGGGTCTTGCTCTTTGCCCCAGTGTGCACTCTCCCCCACTTGGCCCTGCCTCTTGGCCCTTGCCTCCCCCCTCCTTGCATCCCTTATCCTCAGAGCCATGGCATCTATGAGATGCCATGTAACGTTTGGATGGGGCAACAGGGCGAGGACGACAACAGGGCAAAGACAAGGACGGTGACAGGGCAAAGACAAGGACAGCAATGGGGCGAGGATGAGGACGGCGGCAGGGCAAGCATGGTGGCAGGGCAAGCAGGGTGGCAGGGTGAGGACGGGGCGATGAGGCGGATGGCAACAGGGCAAGGACGAGGACAGCAACAGGGCGAGGATGAGGACGGCAACAGGGCGAGGACAAGGGCGAGGATGGGGCAAGGGCTAGGATGAGGATGGGGTGATGACAAGGAGGACGGCGATGGGACGAGGATGAAGGCAACAACAGGGCGATGACGAGGAGGACAGCAACAGGACGACGATGAGGGCGATGACAAGGGCGATGAGGAGGAGGATGGCAACAGGATGAGGACGAGGGTGACAACAGGGCAATGACCTGGCGATGACGAAGACAACGACAGGGCGATGGAAAGGATGGTGACAGGGTGACAGCGACGGCGATGACAGGGCGATGGCAAGCAGGGCGAGGACAGGTCGTGGGTGAGGACAGGGCAACAGGGCGATGAGGACAAGGACAGGACGAGGGCAACGACCAGGCAAGGGCGAGGACAGGGTGAGGACGAACACAGTACCAACCACGACAACGAGCACAGCACAAGGCAAAAGAAGCATGACGAGCATGGCAGGAGGGCAAATGAGGCCAACACAGGGCAGGGTCCACCTGAGCAGAAACGGTGCACCATGGATGCACCGTTTCTGCTGGTTTTCTCTATATCTCACAGCAGGTGGCTCTACTAGCCACCTGCGCCCTGTATGTATTTTAATTACAATTTAATATGATTTTTTTAAACAATTGTTGGTGTGGCCTGAAAATGACCAAGCTCGCCGAACACCATAATAGGCAATGACGGGCATTATTTGCCCCAAGCTATTCTGGGAATGCTCAGGAGCTTTAAGGTAAGTACTAAAAATAACCGATGTCCAAAAAAAGGCTGTGTCATCCAGATTGCCCTCACCCAATCCAGCCTATCCTGCCCCCTCAACGGTGGGGGAAATGGTGCACAACGATGAAGAAATATGTTTCCCCATTGTTGGTGCCTTTTCCCTGCTGAAAACGGGGGCAGGAGCACCACAAACAACAAGGAACAGTGCCCAAGCACTGTTCCCTGCATTGTTTGTGTGTGTTGACAGGTCCTGCCCACAGCCGCGAGCCCCGGCACACCTGGCAAAGCCATCCCAATGAACTCCAGTAGGTGGACTGTAAAAACACAGTCCTGATCTATGAGGCTACCCTGTAAAAATACAGTGTTTGATATAGAAATGTAGTGGACATGGCTGGATCACTAGAGAGAGATCTCTGACTACTGGTCCATGTGCCCCTCCCTCTCAGCCTGGGTAGACCATCCTTGTCCTCACTTGAACCCTCGCTGGATATGTCGTCGCTGGTCAGGTCGAATGAGGAGGGATAGCTCCTGCTGCTCATTATAAGCTAGTGTTGCAGAGGCTTCAGCTATTGGAGGGCCTGCAGCAGTCACTTCTCACATCGTGATTGCGTTGAACGAGCAATCAATGTCACCCCCATCTTGGTCTGCCACCAGGATTCTCCTGTCCCATTGTTCAACCATGACTGGGTGCGAAAGAGCTTGTGTTGAGCCATGCGTAGCCACAGGGGGGCTGCTCAGATCAGTCGTTGTCCTGTCCTTGTCCAGTGCCTGAGATGTTATAAGTGGGGATGTTGGGGGTGCCATACTCGAGCCAGATGGAGCTGGAGAATTCGACAAGGTAGATGCAACATTCTGGGAAGTGTGCAACAGCGCCGCAGGCTCCAACCCTTCTTGGATCGCCGCCGCCGCTACCGCCTGTGAGATTGACAAAAGCGGGAGTGCTGGTGCGATCTGCAGAGTCCTTGAACTGGCGAGCGGCTGAGAGACTTCCTGGATCGTGCCCTGTTCAATCCTAGGCAGTTGGAACCCGGTCTCTGAGGTCCAAGGCTGAGTGTGCAGACAGACACGATGGAGGCCAAAGAACTCACCCAACTGGAAAAACGACTTTGTCTTTTTGTCACATGTCTCGAGCGCCCCCCACGGCAATCGACTCTTGAAGAGATCTTTAATCTCCTTGATGGGATTTGTCTGGCATTGGCTTATCCTATCCACAGTTTCCTTGATCGCCCCTTTGACCGCGAGGAGCATAGGAGTCTTCATGTTCCCTTGGGCAGCCGAATACTAGCGGAAGACCAACATCGCACTTGTTCACCGGTCGAGACAAAATGATCACATACCTCCAGGACCGTATTGCAGGCGAACACCTGATTCGCCAACTGTGTCTTGTTGAGGAGGAAGAGGTGAGAGATAAGCAAGGCCAGGTGCAGCAGTGAGCGCAACGCATAGCCTTTGGTAGGGCCGCTGCCTTCCTGAATAGCAAGGAGCTCCTGCTTGAAGACACAATCATCAGGAAGGCTCTCTGGGTTGTCCAGAATGTCTGGCAATTCTTTGGGCTGGAACTTATGGCCTTTGAGGAACACCAAGTGAAGGGCCATGACAAGAAAATTCATGATGATTTTTGAGGTGTTGATATTTCTCTTGGTTCGGCAGATGAACACGACCAACATCGAAGGGCCTGCCTTTGCTTCCAACTTGGGTGTCTCGTCCAGACTGTCGAACGCCACATGCAGCTCGAATAAACGGTCAACCCAATTCGAAAGCTTGTCATATCCCTGCCATTGTCGATATATCACATCTCTCACACAGGCAACATTGTAAGACTTACTTTCAGCATCTTATTAGGGTGCATGGAGTGTGGTACAATGCCTGCACTTGGTGCGTTGCCTTTGGGAGTGAGGTGTCGCTCAAACAAACGATAGCCCAGGAACAGTGACAATATTTTCATGTTATCATGCGTGTTCGAGGACCTACACTGCTCCACAACCAATATCTCGGCGGAACCTGGGCTGGCCACCTTGATTCTGAGTATGCCTTGAAGGCAGAAAGTCGACTCTGCAGCACTGCACCACCGAAACAGCTTGTTCTCATACCCCATGAGACACTCTACGTAGTTCTGCAAATGTTGTCATCTCATGCTCACTAGGTGCTATCATGTACTCACCTTCAGTTCACTTTCAGGAGGTATCAATGTGGCTAAATTGTCTACAGTCGTGATCTCCCTCGAGAACCACGGCCATCTGGAGATCATAGGGGACACAGCGCATTTCAGTCGCTGCATATCTGGTACCACCTATAATGAGCCCCTGGACCTTCGAACCAGTCTTGACTCACCACTTCAAGTATGCCTTAAATATTTTGTGTTTTAATCTATATAAACAGACTACTGTACTTCTACGAGAAGGCCGAAGGCGAACGGTGCAATTATTCTCAGAGCCATTGTGCTGGCAGTTTAGGGCCAGACCAGGTGGCTTACCAAACAGTGCATGATCAGTTTACCAGCCAATCGGTCATGCACGCAACTGGTCATGCGTGGCCCCGGTCTGGCCCTAAACCTACCAGGTCCAACCAGAATGACGGTTCCGAATGAACACCTTTCCCCGCCAACCTTGTTGCACCCCCACATCGACTCTAGAGTAATATGCCCATGGGTAAGTGCAAGAGAGATAGCGCCTACCCTGCGCGAACCAGTGTTGACCTCTTCCTCGACATCGAGGCCTCTGTTGCTGCAGATGAAGAGGATGATGGGGAACTCGACGAATTCAAACAAGTCTCTGGTTAGTAGATAGTTGTGTATTTGAATATTGTACAAAATCGCCCCTAGACAGTGAGGAAGACACACCAGAAGAACTGGAGACCAACCACCACCGCCTCCAGCGTGAACTTGAAGACTTGCATGTGGATGAGTCACACTGGGCCTCATTCGTGGCGCGCGCTTGCCATAGGGCGGACACTCTCGACCCAGCTCTGACCCATGGAGCACCTAGCAAAAAGGATATGCTTTGGGAGATTGGGTGTAAGGTAGGACCATGCCAGTCCCCATAATTCAGCCGTGTTGATCACTAGCTATCAGCTTGGGCATGAGGAAGCAGCTGTACTTTCTATCTTGCGATGTGCCACCCATCCCACAATGCCCCACAGGAGTGCACTTTCAGCCTTCTGCATTCCCCACCTCCCTGGAAGAGTGTATGTGGAAGTCATGGACATCAAGGCGGCCTGACGGTTAGCTAAAGATATGGTCGTCTTGGATGCTTCCAGAACCATTCCTGTCCCCCATGAAATGATGACCGGCCTACTATCCTTGGGCCCTTCACAGCAGTTCCGACCACAAACATGGGTCCATCTCTGCCCACAGAGAAGCACACTGAAAATTTACGAAGACGATATAGCATTGGTGGTTGGTCAAAGTCATGGGGCAGGCCTGGAACTGCTCTTAGTACCTTGGATAGGTCCTGCGGAAGTAGGAAACGGTTGTCCGCCTCATGAGCTTGCAGAACGGGAGGGGAATAGCTTCACATCCCAGGGATACATGATGTTGAACACGACGGACTGGTGCATGGTGAAAGAGGGACTACCCACTGCCGATGAGCTTGACTTATTCCGCGCCTGTGATATGCTTCTGGCCTCCACCCTCGATGAAACACTCCAATGAATCGCGGAGTCCAAGCTGGAGGTGCATGACCGTGTCCGCATTCGTGGGGGCTCGTTTCATGGATCAGTAGGGATCATTGTCTCTCTATCCTTGAAGGAGGCAGAGGTGTTCATTTCGAGCCTGGGCCTCGTTGAACCTGTCCCATTTACAAATCTCTCCAAGTATTTCCACATTGGTGACAGTGTCGCTGTTACAGAGGGCGAAAATCAAGGCACAAGCGGATGGATTGTTCATACTGATGGGCCAATAGCAACAATCATGGACATGCACAGATATTGCAAGGTAGGACTTTTCATATGATCCTTCACTGGTCAGTCGTTGACGACTTGGGTGGATACCTCTTCCCATCAAACAGCTTGAGTTCAACAAAGAACTCCAGATGTGTTGCCTCTGAGATCTGTCTCCCACCACTGACAAGGCTGTCGGGCATCAGCTTCAGATGAGAGACAACACGAACCGTCGCTATATTGGGAAGGAAGTGGTCGTAACGGGCATGCATTCGCTCAAGGGTTGTCGAGGCATCATAAAGGACACAACCTGGAAGGCGGAAGCCATGGTCCAATTGGCCATATTCAATTGGAGGTGTCTCGAGAAGGTCCCCCTTCACAATCTCAGCCTTGTGTGAGTTTCCTAGGAGTAGCATGCAATTTGTGTCTGACTAAGACATTTCAGGCCCAGTCAAACCTTTACAGCCATACAGTACCTGGAGACAGCCAGGGCACCAGAGGCAAGGGAGTCAGGTCCCCCCTTTAACGACACCAACGTAACAACGCAAAACCAGCGAGCCGCAGCTGACATCTCTTACACACCTGCCTGGAGTCCTGGGTCACGGTTGCCCATGCTGTTGGAGCAACTTATCGATATACCAGTTCCTTCCTGGCTGCATGATCGCCTTTTCTCCCAGCACTGCATCAAGCTCATAGAAGTTGGGATGACAGTCTCGAACATTCTTGAGTTTTGGTCCCTCCAAAACGACATTGTCCTCGTGCGGGATGGCACACACACCCGAGAAGTCCCCCTGGACGTGCTCCACCCAATCATTGCATCTCGAAAGGAAGATGCTGTGGTGTGCACAAGTCCAGGGCCCAATTTCGGACAGCTCTTCAAAATCAAGCCATGGCCCGCCCTGCGTTGCGTCTCGCAAATACCTTGTTGGCGTCTCTGAGGATAACTGGATCAATCTGGCTCAGGGCTCTTATTATTAACTCATTGGAGAAGGGACCAGTGGGAGCACAAACAACAGGAGGCACACGGACTGCTTAAAGACGGCGCAGGATGGAGGCTGCAGGGTCCAAATGTTGGACGGCGGCGGCGATGGTTGGTCCAGGTCCAGGAAGAGCACAGAGGTCCGCTACAGAGTCCGGGTCTGAGGAGCGAGAAACCTCAGCTCCTGCTAATCAACATTGACGGCGAATAGACCTACCTGGCATCGGGTTTGAGGCGCCTTGAGTGACATTGAGGGGTGCATCTTGGCGGATCTCTGAGGAATGGGGAACATAAGCACCTGGTAACTGGCATCAATGGCAGAGGCACCTACCGGGCAGGGGGCACAATCCACCTTCCGAGACCTTGAGTGGCACCTCCTGGTCAATCTCAGAGAAGGGTGGCTGCGCCACTATGAAGAGGGAGGTGAGTCACTGGTAGCGTCCTGATCCAGGGAATGCGACTTTGTACCAAATTCAGACTCTGATGCACTAGGAAGGCCCATTGCAGATGTCTCAACATCTGTATCAGATGGCAGGGAAGTGGTGCCAACTGCTGCTAGAGATGAAGTGAGCCACCCCACAGAGAACTCAGACAGTCGACCAAACACACCAGGAGTGAAAGAGATGGGCTTGTCAGGACGCCTAGGGTGTTGACTGACACGCTCTGTGCGATGAGGAGCTGGTAAATTCTCTTTGTCGATCCTGGGCTTCTTGTGAGACTTGTGAGGTTGGGCTTGATTAGACATGGTGGTGCAGGGGATGGTGGCAATACGAAGACAGGCCGGGGGGGAAGACAGCAATGCACCTTTGTTTTATATCCCACTTGGCCCACCCATCTTGTTGGATCCATCAGGATCTTGAGGAATCTCCAAGATTCTTTGCAAAAATTTTAGCATCGCCTTTGGTTAATGACACATGGCTCTCGTGATCATAAAAGAGCGACCGTTTCACGAGTCTCTAGGAGATCGCACATTCAGGAAAAGGAAAGAGTCTACTCAATCAGAATTTTGAAGATTAGATACATTTGTATGCAAAAAACGGGCCTATTTTCCCCCCCTCCTCCATGATCACAGCCTGGTATAATGGCTCCCCATCCCTGAAATGAGTACCTGTGTATGAAACCAGTACTCCCAGGCCTTGTGGTGCAGAGATGTCATAGGGTCAGGGAGCAGCGTCTCTAGTATCTCTGCCACAACTTCACTGACCATGACATCGGCAGTGAGTGTGCAAGTGTGCCAGTGGATAGCACCCAACGCCTCTGCTGCACTCTCCTCGTCATCCTTCTTCTTGTCAGGCTCGCCTTCCTTCTTCTTAGGCTCCTTGGGTGGATACAGGATGAACTGTTGAGTGGGCAGTAAGATGTGAGTGCCAATTTGCACAAATAACCAAGACACTCACTTGGATCTTCCAGTCAGGACACATGGGCATCAAGTCGGAGTCAGTGAGGGCCTGCAGCACCATACTGGTTCATAGGAGTTTGTTGTGTTTCTGCCTATCCCAGTCTCCTGGTGCGATGTGAGTGCCCTTGACACTTGAGCAGCCATGTCCGCTACATTTCTATATCAAACACTGTATTTTTACAGGGTAGCCTCATAGATCAGGACTGTGTTTTTACAGTCCACCTACTGGAGTTCATTGGGATGGCTTTGCCAGGTGTGCCGGGGCTCGTGGCTGTGGGCAGGACCTGTCAACACACACAAACAATGCAGGGAACAGTGCTTGGGCACTGTTCCTTGTTGTTTGTGGTGCTCCTGCCCCTGTTTTCAGCGACCAACAATGGGGAAACATATTTCCTCATTGTTGTGCACCATTTCCCCCACTGTTGAGGGGGTGGGATAGGCTGGATTGTGTGAGGGCAATCTGGATGATGCGGCCTTTTTTTGGACATTGGTTATTTTTAGTACTTACCTTAAAGCTCCTGAGCATTCCCAGAATAGCTTGGGGCAAATAATGCCCGTCATTGCCTATTATGGTGTTCGGCGAGCTTGGTCATTTTCAGGCCACACCAACAATTGTTTAAAAAAATCATATTAAATTGTAATTAAAATACATACAGGGCGCAGGTGGCTAGTAGAGCCACCAGCCATGTCTGCTACATTTCTATATCAAACACTGTATTTTTACAGGGTAGCCTCATAGATCAGGACTGTGTTTTTACAGTCCACCTACCGGAGTTCATTGGGATGGCCTTGCTGGATCTGCCAGGGCTCGCAGCTGTGGGTGGGACCTGTCAACACACACAAACAACACAGGAAATAGTGCCTGAACACTGTTCCTTGTCGTTTGTGGTGCTCCCGCCCCCGTTTTTGGTGGGGAAAAGGTGCCAACAGTGAGGAAACATATTTCCTCGTTGTTGTGCACCATTTCCCCTGCCGTTGGGGGGGCAGGATAGGCTGGATTGGGTGGGGCAATCTGGATGACACGGCCTTTTTTTGGACATTGGTTATTTTTAGTACTTACCTTAAAGCTCCTGAGCATTCCCAGAATAGCTTGGGGCAAATAATGCTCGCCATCATCTATTACAACGTTCGGTGAGCTCAGTCATTTTCAGGCCACACCAAAAGTTGTTTTAAAAAAATCATATTAAATTGTAATTAAAATAAATACAGGGCGCGGGTGGCTAGTAGAGCCACACGCTGTGAGATATAGAGAAAACGAGCAGAAACAGTGCACCATGGATGCACTGTTTCTGCTCGGGTGGACCCCACCCTGCCCTCCTGCCGTGCTCATCGTCATACTTGTTCTGTGGTCATGGTTGGCACCGTGTTTGTTCTTGCACGGTGTTTTCCCTCACCCCATCCTTGCCCTTGCCTGGTCGTTGCCCTCGTCCCATCGTCATCATCGTTGCCCTGTCGTTGCCCTTGACCCGTCGTTGCCCTGCTTGCCATTGCCCTGTCGTCATCATCATCCTCGCCCTGTCGTCATCCTCGTCCTCGTTCTTGCCTGCTCATTGCCCTCGTCCCATTGTCGTCGTCCTTGCCCTGTCACCATCCTCGTCCTTGCCCCATCCCCATCCCATCCTCATCTCGTCGTTGTCCTCGTTGTGATCGCCCCATCCTCATCCTCACCCTCGCCCCATCCTCGCCCTGTCACCATCCTCATCCCTGCCCTGTTGCCATCTGCCTCGTCGCCCCCTCCTCGCCCCGTTGCTGTCCTCGTCCTGTTGTCGTCCTTGCCCTGTTGCCCCATCTGAACATTACATGGCATCTCATAGATGCCATGGCTCTGAGGATAGGGGAGGTAAGGAGGGGGGAGGCAAGGGCCAAGAGGCAGGGCCAAGTGGGGGAGAGTGCACGCTGGGGCAAAGAGCAAGACCCATATCCCTGTTAAGGGGAGGGGTGAGGTGGGGGTGAGGGCGGCGTGAGCAATGACCAGTGGGGCTGAGACCTGGGAGACTGGAGGGAAGATGCATGTAGGGGCTGGAAGCCGGCCCACATCCCTATGCAAGGGGAGGGGCACATGGCAGGGTTGAGTCGAGACGCCATGTCATCTGCGACGTGGGCAGGCTCTGAAGATACAAAACAATGTAATTAGTCAATAAAAAAAATAAAGAATACTTTACATACCTTTTTGACGTGTTTTCGAGGCTGGATGGCCAGCGGTAGAGGTGGAGGGAGATGTGGGTGGGTGTTGAGACAGTGTGATGAACAATGGTTGAACATTGTTGATCGTGTTTCGGCCATTGCCGTATGGCTTCTGATTGGATGATGAGCCTCCGTTCCAAATCCCGGCCTTCCGCTGTTGAGAAACGGGATGTCTCTGTTCTCCTACATGGGTAATTAAACCATAAAATAAGCATCAGATATGTATCTCTGAACAAACGTCATTGTATACGTAAAATTTTAAAGAAGTCCCAAGACGGTTGAGCTCAGAATAGCCCACACAAGCCGCTTGCGTGGTGATTTCGGGACATCGTGCAACGCTTACTTGCATGTACAGTAATAAAAAAGTAGTGAAATGGGACTATGTGCTCGAGGATTTCAACATAGCATATGTTCTCTAAAGTATTTGTGCTTCCCCCAATTCATTTCCTGATTTTGAAGGTCATAATCTTGAACTGCCCACTTCAGCAGTCAGATTCTCGTTGTAATCTGAAGTACCAATACTGCCCTGATTCATCTAAAGTAAATCTACACCAATCCATGCCATTCAAGTATTAAAAATAGGTTCTAATCAACTTATATACCAATACTCTGTAACTATTCTAGACAAACGAGCAGCCGACGACCTTTGAGGATGTTGACAACGTCCTGCTCGAATTTGCAAGTAGATGGCCCGGTCGCTCCAGCCAATAGGATCACACCGTGGGGTTCGCCGAAACGACAATCAACGATGTTCAATGTCATTGGTTTGATGCTGTCAACCACCACCTGCGACGTTCCGATGGTGGAGATACACTGTGACACTCGCGGTCGTTGCATATAAGGTATGTATCACTATTTTCTGTCATTAATACTTCTTATTTATCTATTCTATTACTCTAGATGCTCCTCCTTGCGTGTGCAAGACATGTCAGGTCTGCCTGCCGTGTGCCCCTCCCCTTCAACAGGGATGTGGGCCGGCATATTCGTCCCACCTACCCCTTCCTCTTCACCCTCGGATGACCACACTGCTGCACTACCCTTGACGCCCCACAATGTGCTCTACCTACGCTGTTTGCCCCTCCCCTTCAACAAGGGATGTGAGCCGGCTTCTGCTCGGTTCCATGTCCCTCGCCACATCTGCCAGCCTCCTGAATTGCCAGCCTCGGCCATGTGGGACCAGGATGCCCATCCCTGTCGCCTCTGCCATCTCACCAACCCCGCTCTTGTCCTCTTGACATCGCCATTTGCTGTCTCTGCGACATGCCAAATGTGATCGCCGCCTCGCACCTCAACCTTGACCTTGACCTCGGCCTCGCACCGTTGGAAAGGACGCCAGCACGAGGAAAACGCCACCCAAACCCAGGTTGAAGGAGCCAGGATAGTGGCATCACATACGGGGGAGCAATGAGGGGCGATGGCGATAGGTTAAAACGAGAGCAGGACGGCATGGGGTACACCCAGTCCTGCTTTCAACTACCCAATTGGAACAAGCACAAGCACAATATGTGAAGACTAGGATGCGCACGATGAACACAAAACATATACGACGAATACACGAGCAGGAGGAGCAGGAGGAGGATGGATGCATACGAGGGCAGGCGAGATGAGCACGGGTATGCCCACCTTCACATCCACCCCTGCCCTCGTTTCCTCCTTGCCTCCCACCTCTGCCCCCTTCTTACGTCGTACGCGGAGCCATGCTGTCATAGAGATGGTGTGTAATGCTGCATGACGGATTTCGGGCAGCAAAGGGGGTACAATGGATGGGGACATGGGTATATAAACCACCCGCATATGACGACGGGCAGGGAATGATGACAACGGCAGTGGGTGATAAGAGACAACAACAACAACAACGATGCCAATGTCAGTGGGCGAGGGATGACAGATACAACAAGCAATGGCAGGAGCAATGGCAGGCAATGAAGAAGAACGAGGACATGGTGGGTGAAGAACAAGGACAAGGGCGAGAGATGACAACGGCGGACGGGCAACGACAACAGAGATGGCGGGGGGCAACAAAGATGGCAGCGAGGAATGGCGAGCAGGGCGAGAGGGCTGCAAGGAGTTGGGAGCGAGAGGAGCAACCCAACATGAGGCACGGTGCAAGGAGCATCACAATGCGAGGGCGGGCACGGCACAACGGGGCCACCAGAGCAGAAACGGTGCCTGCATGGCGCGCTGTTTCTGTTCATCTTCTCTCTATCTCATGGCAGGTGGCTAGTAGCTAGCCACCTGCATCCTGTATTTATTGTATTTTACTTTAATGTGATTTTTTTTCATTTTTTTTGGGTGCTGTGAGTACGCCCAAGCTCGTCGGACCCGAGTGTGTCTAAAAATAACTGATGCCCAAAAAAGGCCACATCATCCAAAGCACCCCCTCCTAATCCAGCTTATCCCATTCCCCAACGGCAGAGGAAACAGTGCACAATGACGAGGAAATATGTTTCCTCATTGTTGGCACCTTTTCCCTGCCAAAAACAGGGGCAGGAGCACCACAAATGACAAGGAACAGTGTTTGGGCACTGTTTCCTGCATTGTTTGTGTGTGTTGACAGGTCCCGCCCACAGCCGCGAGCCCCGGCAGATCCGGCAAGGCCATCCCAATGAACTCCGGTAGGTGGACTGTAAAAACACAGTCCTGATCTATGAGGCTACCCTGTAAAAATACAGTATCTGATACATTCTTGTAGCTGATAGAAGTGAGCCACCTGCTGTGAGATATAGAGAAAACCAGCAGAAACGGTGCATCCATGGTGCACCGTTTCTGCTCAGGTGGACCCTGCCCTGTGTTGGCCTCATTTGCCCTCCTGCCATGCTTGTCGTGCTTCTTTTGCCTTGTGCTGTGCTCATCGTCGTGGTTGGCACTGTGTTCGTCCTCGCCCCGTCCTCGCCCTTGCCTGGTCGTCACCCTCGTCCTGTCCTTGTCCTTGTCGCCCTGTCGCCCTCGTCCTGTCCTTGTCCTTGTCGCCCTGTCGCCCTGTCCTCACCCACGACCCGTCCTCGCCCTGCTTGCCATCGCCCTGTCGTCGCCGTCCTTGCCATCGCCCTGTCATCGCTGTCGCCGTCACCCTGTTGCCGTCCTTGTCATCACCCTGTCATTGCCATCACTGTCACCCTGTCACTGTCCTTGCCATTGCCCTGTCGTTGTCTTCGTCATCGCCGTGTCATCGCCCTGTCGTCGCCCTTGTCCTCATCCTGTTTCTGTCCTCCTCCTCGTCGCCCTCATCATCACCCTCGTCCTCGTCCTGTCGCCGTTCTCCTTGTCATCGCCCTGTCGTTGCCTTCGTCCTCGTCCCATCGCCGTCCTCCTCATCATCACCAGCCATGTAAGCTAGAAAAATATAGAATACAAGGCAGTTTCCTAACTATGAATCTAAGCCCTGGAGGGCAATATGCTACCTTCTGCTTTGGGAAGGCTCTCCTAATAAGAGGGAGGGGTTGCTGGGTGCCCGGCATCTGCAAGGGTGATGAGGAGGGGGTAAATAAATTAGTAAGCATCCATTTCCAGGGTGGGCGGGTGGTGGGAGGTGCAGGAGGGGGCGGAATGGGGGCAGGATAGACCAAGCAGGACCCCGGGGCACTGCAGAGAACTGGTCATGTGACCTGTTTGCTCTGCAGCCTCAACCGGGGCTGTTTTTTGTGAAAAAAGTGCCCAGGGCCAATGTGATAGTATGTTACTGTATGTCATAAAAAAATCAGGAGAATCTGGGATGTGGAATGTTGCGAAACGGCGCGTATGAGGTGTCACCTTAACTTGGCGCGCGTTTATTTTTAGCACAAGCTGCTAAATTGGGATCTGGCATCAAAATAGCCATTGCTGGCGCATTTCGGGCTCGTTTGGCTTCCCCCTTGGTGGAAATTGATGGGAACGATGACACGATAATTTTGAGGGAACTGATAGCTACCTGTAGAGACCCAGAACGTGTGAATACGACCATTTTTGGCGATGTTATGGCCTAAACTGTGCTTCTATGCACAAAAATGCGAAAATGCGCACCTAATGCTCTGCTTCTCATGCATGCCTGCCTCATAAAAACTAGCCAATAATTTAGTATGCTACTAGAGCTTTAGAACGAGCCAATAATAATGGCCTTGCATGCATTATTGGTTATGCAATGGGCCTTTTGATGTTTATGTGCTAAAAAACCGAAAAAGCGCACTCAGATCTCTATGCCACACATGTATCTATCCTTTCCAAACATTATGCGTTCAGATAGAGGTTAATAAAGGCTACAAAACGCGCTATTCAGTGTCTCCACGCGTTCATTTGTTCCAAAGATATACCTACAACACTCCTCATCCCTCAATATCACAAAAAGCAAACTTCTGTATCTCCCCCAATTCTTATCCAAGACCTGTAGAATTTTTCAGTCAGTCTCACCCAGTGCCCTAATTACTATTTACAATCACATAGCATGGTATAGACTCCCTTCTAATATAATATAAGCACCACTTCCTCCTTCCCCTGAAAAGCCAGAAATGCGCCCTCCATTTCCCATTCCCCAGGCTATTTATGTGAGCTGTAACATATATACATGTTAATAGTAGCCATATAGGTACCTCCATGCAAGAATACAGGAGTTAATAATGCCAAATGCACTTGCAGTGGCCAATTTCGGGTTTTCTACTTATAATCACCTTGTTTGCCCCATGGGATGCCCAATTCTTCACCAATCTTCAAGAAGAAACATGTCCCAGGATCGGAATGATCTCCTCTTCAAATTCCGACACCTCCAAGACGACCAATGTGACACACTAGAGGACATGCCAGAAGGATGCCATGTCCTCTAGTGTGTCACATTGGTCGTCTTGGAGGTGTCGGAATTTGAAGAGGAGATCATTCCGATCCTGGGACATGTTTCTTCTTGAAGATTGGTGAAGAATTGGGCATCCCATGGGGCAAACAAGGTGATTATAAGTAGAAAACCCGAAATTGGCCACTGCAAGTGCATTTGGCATTATTAACTCCTGTATTCTTGCATGGAGGTACCTATATGGCTACTATTAACATGTATATATGTTACAGCTCACATAAATAGCCTGGGGAATGGGAAATGGAGGGCGCATTTCTGGCTTTTCAGGGGAAGGAGGAAGTGGTGCTTATATTATATTAGAAGGGAGTCTATACCATGCTATGTGATTGTAAATAGTAATTAGGGCACTGGGTGAGACTGACTGAAAAATTCTACAGGTCTTGGATAAGAATTGGGGGAGATACAGAAGTTTGCTTTTTGTGATATTGAGGGATGAGGAGTGTTGTAGGTATATCTTTGGAACAAATGAACGCGTGGAGACGCTGAATAGCGCGTTTTGTAGCCTTTATTAACCTCTATCTGAACGCATAATGTTTGGAAAGGATAGATACATGTGTGGCATAGAGATCTGAGTGCGCTTTTTCGGTTTTTTAGCACATAAACATCAAAAGGCCCATTGCATAACCAATAATGCATGCAAGGCCATTATTATTGGCTCGTTCTAAAGCTCTAGTAGCATACTAAATTATTGGCTAGTTTTTATGAGGCAGGCATGCATGAGAAGCAGAGCATTAGGTGCGCATTTTCGCATTTTTGTGCATAGAAGCACAGTTTAGGCCATAACATCGCCAAAAATGGTCGTATTCACACGTTCTGGGTCTCTACAGGTAGCTATCAGTTCCCTCAAAATTATCGTGTCATCGTTCCCATCAATTTCCACCAAGGGGGAAGCCAAACGAGCCCGAAATGCGCCAGCAATGGCTATCTTGATGCCAGATCCCAATTTAGCAGCTTGTGCTAAAAATAAACGCGCGCCAAGTTAAGGTGACACCTCATACGCGCCGTTTCGCAACATTCCACATCCCAGATTCTCCTGATTTTTTTATGACATACAGTAACATACTATCACATTGGCCCTGGGCACTTTTTTCACAAAAAACAGCCCCGGTTGAGGCTGCAGAGCAAACAGGTCACATGACCAGTTCTCTGCAGTGCCCCGGGGTCCTGCTTGGTCTATCCTGCCCCCATTCCGCCCCCTCCTGCACCTCCCACCACCCGCCCACCCTGGAAATGGATGCTTACTAATTTATTTACCCCCTCCTCATCACCCTTGCAGATGCCGGGCACCCAGCAACCCCTCCCTCTTATTAGGAGAGCCTTCCCAAAGCAGAAGGTAGCATATTGCCCTCCAGGGCTTAGATTCATAGTTAGGAAACTGCCTTGTATTCTATATTTTTCTAGCTTACATGGCTGGGGTGGCCACAGATGTAGACCAGCTCACCCACATCCCTTGTTGA